AGGAAGCATTCCTATCTGAAGGCGATATACTATTACAAAATTTCAAAAATGCATATGCATGGGAGAAAAAATACTATCACGTAAAAATTCAAAAAAAAGAGGAAAAACGGAAAGGTAAGAGAAAAAGTGGTAAGGCATGAAGCTTTGGTCTACTGCGGAGGTTATCATTCTCTCCATATCACATTCTTTTTTTTGACGTCGATAAATCTCTGCTATCATCTATTATATGCTTTGTCTTCTTGCCGGAAAATCTCTCCGTTTCTGTCAAATGTTGGAGAAACTTCAGTAGATCGTTCAGACACTGTTGATGATGACCCAGAACAGTTGTCACAAGGCTCAACGTTGACGCGTATCATGAAACAGAGGATATTTCGCCGAGACGGATTCCGCTCAAGATGCTCATCATCGATGTCTTGCAAGACTGTGGTGATGGTTTTGGTAGTGATGGTGACAGAGAAAAGATCGTAGCGCCGGGAAGAAACGCCGACTAGTCACTGATATGCGGTGATCTTGACCTAATTTTGTTCCCTATCACCCACCATCCACAACGTTTAACACAGTACGATTCCGTTACTACCGAGAACAGTCGATGAAATCTATCTATAGTGGATAAGTAGCCACGACAGCAAACGACTGTAGCTGGAAGGTGATACCAATAGCGCTGACGGTGACCAGCGAGTTAGGAAGGCATCGAATCTCATTGCGTGGAGCAGTTTCCTCAGCGGTCAGGTGTGTAGAACCCTTGTTTTCCAACACTGTACTGTACAAGTAAAAACTCCTGGCAAACCGCAGCCTGCATGCAGGTGTAGATGAAAATGGCAACTTGAAGGCGTGCTAGGTTCTACAACAGCAATAGACGGTGAGTTATAGCGATTCACAAATCTAGAAAATTCCATGACAGACTTCTTCTTAACCTCGGCTTTGAACAATAATTCAGTGCCTTTTCTCGATGAGCAAGCGCGTTGTTATTAAAGCATTCACTAATAATTACTACTAATAAACCCTTAAAATTACCAGTGTTAATAAACGCTGTGGTAAAAACCTGTGCTTGTTTATCAAGAAAATATAGGAACACACATTTCATTGAAGTGGAGAAAGTTTTAGGCCAAACAGAAGCATTCCGATTAAGCAGTAGTCGTTTTTATCATTTTTATCATTGAAAACGCCGATTTGACTCTCTAAGGACATGAAAAACTAGAAAAAGCTTGAATAAAAGGTCTTCTGCTATTTAAGACAAATAAATGTGTGCGGGTCCAGGGTCATCGAAGTTTGTCGGGAATACCACTTGCCTCTAGTCCTAACCTTTGTCGACCATGAGGAAGTGTTTGACAGTGTCGAAACGAATGCAATCCTATCAGCGCTCGTCGACCAAGGAATGGACCAGTCCTACATAAGGACTCTGTCCGACTGTTATCGGAACTGCACTGCAAAAATACAGCTTTTCCATCAACCTCTTACAATACCCATAGCAAAAGAGGTTCGAAAGGGCGACACAATATCGTCAAAGCTGTTCACTGCCGCACTGTAGTGGATAATGAAGTCACTAGATTGGCATGAGAAAGGGATACGTATTGATGAAAAATTCCTATCAAGCCTTCGTTTTGCTGACGATATTGTTATCTTCTCGAGAAGTACTAGCGAAGCAGAGGTGATGAACAGCGAGCTCAACGAAGCGGGGAAAAAGACCAGACTTCGTATAAATCGAAAAAAGACCCAGTTCATGAAAAACCCATGGTGCGAAGGGGAAGAAATTGAATTGGATGGCTCTCTCATTGCAGAGACCAGCTCGTGCGTTTACCTTGGGCGATCAATGAACATGGAAAACAACATAAAAAGGAGACTATTAGATAGAAGAAGGAGAGCAGCTTGGGTCGAATTCGGCCCTCTCAAAGAAGCCACCGACCAACTGAAGGACCCGAAAAGCCACGCTCGTCTCTTTGAATCTACGGTCCTCCCAGCGCTCTGTAATGCTGCAGAGACGTGGGTTGTTACTTCAACTAAGTCAAGAATGCTTCGAACTGCTCACAGAGCGCTTGAGCGATCTCTTCTAAAACATAGCCGGAACACTCGATATGTAGCCGGAATGCGAAGCTCTGACCTTCAAAATCTGTCACATCTTCGAGATCCAGGAAAATATACATCAACAGCGAAAGGTAGATGGGCCGGTCACATAATGAGAAGAACAGACGACAGATAGACGAAAAGAACAGTAGAGTGGACTCTAAGAGAGTGCAAACGTTCCCTTGGACGAGCACCTACACGTTGTGTGGACGTGTTCGTAAACAAAGTTAATCAGCTGTACCCGCAGCTGCAGTTGTTTTACAGATCATGGTATGAAACTCGCAAGCGCTGCTATGCCCGAACAAGACCACCACCATGGACTACGATTGCGAGAGAAAGAAACGAATGGCATATGTGCTGGGGTCCGCACAGCTCGTGAAGACGGACAGTCCAAGTATCCAAGTAAGTAAAAGTGTAGGTGGAGCGCTATGAGATTTAAATTATTCGTTAAGAATAAAACATGCTCGACATGTGAAATAGAAGAAAGTTGAACAAAACAGCCCCGTTTTAAAATTCTTAAAAGTGAAAGATGAATAAAAGAAAAGGAAGTAGATAAGTGGAGATAAAGAATGAAGTGAGAAGAAACAGAAAATAGAATTTGTCCATTAGAGCTCAGTTTCTTCCTAAAACTTCTTCGATAAGATTTTAAACCGACCGTTTTTTTCCAGAAACGATTTATCATATTTAAAGGACAGAAGCAAAAAACAAACGATCGTGAAGAATTCTATCCCAACAAATCATTGATAATGCTAAGATAACTTTCGATCACTTCAGAAAATCACGAAAGCTTAACAAAGGGTAGGAGAGGAAGGCAAGTCTGCTAATGACAAAAAATGTGGCTTGAAAGTTTTTCAGACCCTCTAAACTGTCACTGAACATATCAAAACGACTTCAAGGAACACGTATGAAAAATAATAGTAGGATAAAGCTATCGGCGTTGATCAATCTCTTAAGGATGCGCTATTCATTTCTACTTCTTCAAGCATCGTTGGAGGTGATTGAATGCACTTGGCTTTTATAATCAGTCACGGAGGCTTACCGATGTATCGAGCCTTCCAGGCAAGTGTGGTATCAATTTTCTGACTCCGGAGAGATAGAGGACCGACAAGGGACGCGGGAATCGATCTCATATTTATTACTGGACGTCTCCGACCACTGCGCCACACGCGCCCATTTACCCATTCGATAGGCTAATAAATTCTTACCGTGGTAAAAAAAAATCGCCATTCGATAGAAGAAATTAAATCCAGTTGATATTTGTAAAAAGCATTAAGATACCAATAATATTATAAGTTGTCAATGTTTAGGCTTGGTTATAAAACAACCTCATTTTCTTTCATCCGACTAGGAAATACTGAAAGAGCTGCTTAGTTGGATTTCTAATGACACAATAAAATATGTGTAGATATCGAAAAACAACAAAAAGACGAGAAGCCGTGATCTATCGTAAACTTGGACGAGTTGTACTGGTGTCCATTCCAAACAGTATGACGTCCCACATGAAAGTTGCTAAGAGAGGCTAAAAAATGGCCTCATTAGATGCGACGGCGATTTGTCACAAGGACAATGAAACTACGAAATAAAACAGGAGAATTTTTTTGTGTGATTACCGCTTTCCATCAATTACCATATAGCAATCATAAACTGAAATTCTTAACGCAACGAAAATCTTTACATGTTGATAAAACTTTTTTCCATTTCAGAAAGATCGAAAACACAGTTAGAAGAATTTTGCGTGACACGATTCCCATCGTCATTCTTTAGCAAGTGAGGACTCACAGCTTTTACATCAACTATACTGGAAAATCGTACTTTGCCAATTCTAACGTTGCGGAGCGTTTTAGGGTGACTAGGGAAATGATGCTAATCGAAACTAAAAGCCACCGTCTCTTTTATTTAAGACACAGATGGACTCATTAGTTAGAATCCTTGACGCAGTACGCGAAGTACTTACCCAGTTTATAAATCATGTTTCATAAAAAACCCATTATTGAGTTGTAACATATGAAATGTCTGGTTTCAAATTGAACTTTAAATAACCATAACATTTTTATACTAATTGCTATTGATCGAAATAGGCACCATTAGAATCAGCACTTTTTTTTCAACGAAAAACAAGTTTTAAGACTTTGTCGGTATAAAAATTGTCAGTTCTAGTGTCATTGAATTCTTCAAAGGTATTTTCAACGGTTGTTTAGTCGTTGAGGAATCATTCCCGTCAGAAAGTGGTTCAGATGCTTAAAAAAATGAGTCTCCGATGGCGACAAATCTGGCCAGTGAGGCAAATGTGGTAGAGTTTCGCAGTGCATTTCATTCAGCTTTCTTAATGTCACTTAGAAATCGTGTGGTTTTGCGTTGTCATGAAGTAATAATGGCCCTTTTCCACTGCCCAGTGCCGAGTGCTTGACGTATAGTTTTTGATGCATTTCTTCGATTTCAGCACATAAATTAATCTGACGTAATCGTTTTACCGGGTCGTAAAAAGTTGTAATGAATTATATCGGCCACTGACCACCAAACGAAAGCCATTGTCTCCTTTGGATGGAGAGTCTGCTTAGGCATGTATCGTGGGTTCTCATCGGCGTCTAGCCATTGTGCGGAACTGCAACAACCATCGTACAGTATCCGCTACTCATCGCAAGTTGTAATGCAACTCAAAAACGGATCGCTATCTTGGCAAATCAGTAGCGAATTGCAAATTTCCAGACGTTGAGTTCGTGTAAAACCCATTCGTACATTTTTTTTCCAAATTTTCCAACCAACTGTATGTGACGTAAAATGGTCAAAGCACTGACTCCAAGCACTGCCCCAAGTTCTCGGACGGTTTGACGTGGATTCGATTCGACAAGAGTAGGAAGTGCCTCATCGTTAACCGTAATTTCAGGCCTACCACACTCGTTGTTTGCAAGGCTCTCGTTCCCGCATTGAAACTTTATGTACTAACGACGAATGGTGCGTTCGTTGGCAAAGCCGTCTCCAAACGCGGCATTGATATTCTGCGCTCCTGCTGCGACATTATGTCCACTCTTCCACTCGTACGAAAAAGCACGCGAATAGCACGTTGATTCATACTGAAGTTAAAGCCTATGAAAATGTTAAAATAATAAATCTTAAAAAAATCAATACTAGTTGTACAAAGAACGGAATTTATGCCTTAAAAATCAATATTATTCATACATAAAGAGCAGAATTTGTTTTAAAAAAAATCAATATAATCGGACATGAATACGAGGGAGATGGCAGACTGGATGACGTTTGACAAGAAAGCCACTTATATTTTAATCTCATGAAGAGTGCTGAGGTGTTTGTGAGCTAATTTCTCCCACAGTTCTCTAGACAACTTCGAGCTTTTTTCAAAGAGAAAAAGGTTGGTGATAATAAAATTTCGTTTGCTATAGGAACTATCATCATCAGGACTGTATTCGCTTTGATTGTGCATTGAGCGATTCTAAACGTCCGATGGCGAAGATGACATTTTTTCGGATATCGTCACTTTCCGAGATTTCCGCGAAGTAAAAGAGTGTAGACAAGTTTGTATTTCAATTAGTTAAATTCCCAAGGATGTTGTTGCTCTATTAAGCTTTCAGGACCTCGGTTCATAGTGATGTCCTCGTTCATTTTCACTGAGACCTAACCTTTTATGCTTCTTTTTCGTTACACAATATTAACTTTTCAGTTCAGTTTCTTGATTGCTTTTTGTAGTTCAACTGGACTACAGCCCATCGCTCACACCTGTGTAAAGTCAAGCCTTTCTTGAAAACAATACATTATCGGATTTATGGGTGTTGTAGGAGGAAACACTACCCCTAAGTGTTATATTAGTTGACTATGAATACGATAACAGATCGTGACTCTAGTACTAAGCGAAACCGTACCTGAAATTCTCGCCGAGGAAGAAAAATTATGCCTAATAGATAAAGTCATCTTTCGGAAAGATTTTAATCCGAAGAAGACGGTCGCCTAACTAAATGCAGAATTTCTGGATCAAATCAACTTCTATGCGGACAAAGGGTGCAAGATAATACTTTTGGCGTTGATCAATCCCAGCATGTATTCAGCTCCATTCGTTGCATCATAGAAGTGATTGAATGCATATTTGGTCTAAATAATCACTTGTGATAGCTTCACGATGTGCTATGTAACTGCTTTTGTCTCTTCAGACGAGTACGGTACGACTTTGCAGACCAATAAGAGAAAAAAGGTTCAGCTTGTGCAAGCGAGAGACCGAACCAGCAACCACAGTGTATGTTGCAAGGCAGCCTCTAGACACCGTGTTAGCTATCGCCTGATCATTCAGGCTCGCAAGGACGAACACACGAGATTCAGTTATTTTTAGCCTATTACGCGTATACCACGAGCATTACTGATCTCATAATGGAAATCGCCTGTGATATAAGTTACATTGTAGAAAGAAGGATAAGTGATAAAACGATAAAAGTTCTCGGCGTTGATCAATCCCTGAGGGATGCGCCATGCATTCGACTTCATTAAGCGTTGGAGGTGATTGAACACATACCTGGCATTTACAATGACTCGCGGAAGCCTATCGATGTATTCAGCCAGTGCTGCCATCCTCACAGACAGGTCTGGTATCAATTTGCCGACCCCGGAGGAAAGGAAGACTTGGTGAGCCTGGGTCGCGGCGTCAATCACATGTGTATTCCAGGCCCACTGCGCTAAACGATCCCTCGTAGAAAAAACATGTAATAAATCGGTTTAAGTGATCGGCAGCATTTATATGAGAACGATGTCCAATTTTCATATAACGAATCCCATGTTAAAGCTAGTTAAATGAAACGACCACAGATGAAGGCGTGTTGTAGGGTTTCTGAAGAATCCTGTAAGAGTCACTTGGCACCTATTTTGCTCGATTTACCGATTCAAACGGTACATCAGCAGGATTATGGTAAGCCATAGTACTCGATAGCCTCCAAATCTGCTTAATTCAAACGACATTGTGGTAAAAAAAATAAATGAGGGTATAACGTGCTAGGTGTTAATCAATCCTAAGGGACGCATATAACGCAATGGTTAGTGGTGCCCTCAATTCACTCCAAAACGATTGCTGGTTTGATCCAATGCTCCAGGCTCACCAAGCCTCTATTCCTACAGGATCGGCAAAATGGTACCAGACTTGTATGAGGGGATAGCAGCACTGACTTCATAGAGCGGATGGCCACCGCAAATCATTTTACACGCCAGATATGGGTTCATTCATCTCTTCCATACTTACCAAAGTTGATCTGGTGATGCAGCATGAAAACCGACGACTCGCTTTCACATTTACTTTTGTGAAGTCAACCAGTATATAAAAACTATAATAGGAGGATTCGTATTACGCAGTAATAGGAGTGTCATGGAATGAAACCCGCGCCCTCTATCCTTCCGGAGTCAGGAAATTGTCGCTGCACTTGTCAAGGAAAAGCTTCACCAGTCAGTAAAGACTGTTGAAGTAAGCTTTGTAGTAAGAACACGAGAACGCTCTATCAGAGCTATCCTTGTGTTCCGAGAGTAATCAATTCGAGGAGTATTTAACGGCAAGTAATAATAAAACGAAATTCTCAAAAAAAATTCACAAAAATCGCAAAAGGTGTACGGAATTACTAAAATCTGCTCCACGTATAAAGACGAGCTATATAAAAAAAAGTCCAGCAGCCATCACTTTTGGACATTTTCGGAGAGATGCAGTGATATCGGTGTTAAGACGACAATAGTTTCTTCGGCAACTTTCGAACGCAACTGAATTTATTTAATGATGAAAAATGCGGTATAAACGATGGAGCAGAAAATCGATAAAAAAGGCTTTTTGAAGGGCTAAAGAGAAGGTTTACGATTTTCACTGGTTGCTATACATCACAGTAGCAGCTCTTGATTTCATTCTTCATTTAGCTCTTCATTTAGCTCTTGATGACCCACCAGACACCAATAAACTTAAAACAGCGTCATGCTTACGTAGAAATACTGACTAAAGACATTTCTCTACTATTCTAAACAGGATATTGATCGTTATGACTAAACTTCTGCACGTTTGGAGAAAACGCGAACGGCTTCCGTGATAAGATCACTAGATATCACGGAGTAAACAAACGCGAAAGTAACCACTGAGCTGTTTGGTGAATCAACCGATCTAGCAATATACGGGCTGTACAACAGAATAAATAGATAAGCAGTGAACTTCGGAAGTTCTTAAAGTGAAATCATCCTGTTGTGAAAAACTTGGTCAATTCGACCATTGACGTTTCGAGATTGCGGAAAAAAACTCCGGAGTGGATCTTTAGCGAAACTGTCGTAACATTCGGTCACTTAGAGACTTCAAATGAATTCGCACTGAAGTGGATCAAAGTGGTAGAATTGACCTAATTTTTGTATATCCGTTGGAATCTCTCTAGAATTTTCGTCGTTAAACACGTCGATGTTACCGTTTTCTACAACTACTGTCACTGTTGTCGATCGTTGTGGGACCAAAAAGGTTGCAAAGTTGCTTAAGTGTCAGCGAGGAATTCGGGAAAACACACTCCACTGTGATCCGAGGACGGAATAGGAAAAAAAGACGTTCGATGATTATTATACGACATTGAAAGGGAAAGCAAAACCTGTTCGTTCTCGAATGGAAAAACGAGCAACAAAAAGAAATAAACACCCTGAGAAAAAAGCTGATATTGGGCTCATTAAGTCTCAGACTTAATGAGGTAACAGTTCTTGTATTCCCATGACCGACTTTCTTTTAACCTCGGCATTGATCGATAATTCGATGTTTTTCTTCAATAGGCAGACACGAAGTTGTTATTATAGAATTTATTAGGATACAATAGCTGACGTTTCGGCGGTTTCGCCTTCTTCAGAGACTTGAAAGGTCAAATTGAGATGCGATCTGCCCAGCCAAACACTTTCATAACATTAGCAGATATAAATTACCTCTTGCTCTTTATTTCAAAAAAAATAAATGCAGCTATAAAACGCTTCTTAATAAGGGCCGGTCTAGAGAATTCCGTAAGAGTGATAGAAATACCATCGAACACTCTAAGACGCCAGTTAGTTCGCAACCGTCTATATGACCGTCTATGTATAACGAAAAGTTGCATAATTTGCGCTAACGGTAGAGACGGTGATTGCATGAGTTCGGGTACAGTCTATCTGATCTCTTGCGAAACGTGCGGGCACAAATACGTTGGCGAAACGGGTAGGCCGCTCTGCGTCGGCATAAAAGAACATCTAGTCGGGAAATCTAAATTAAAACAAAATACTCCACTAGGCGCAAATAGGATGCAGGAACACAACGGAGAAGATTCTGAAGTAGGAGTCACTATCCTCACGTTGAAGCTTTTTGGATCAATTCCAAACATTCAAAAATGAACCGCAAGGAAGAGCGTCTTGTCATCACACGTGACCTGGCGCCATACCTCAGGCTAATCCAATGACCTAACACAGACACAGTTATCGCCCATGTAATTACTCTGTGCGGTTGCTATCCATCAACTGACTTAAATACTTACAACAAATAAACGGTAGTTGTTTAAATGAAGCTGTTTCTTATGCGAATACAAATTTATTTGCTAAGTTTTATCTGCTAGGGTTATGAAAGTGTTTGGCTGGGTAGATCGCATCTCAATTTGACCTTTCCAGGCTCTGAAGAAGGCGAAACCGCCGAAACGTCTGCTATTGTATCCTAATAAATTCTATAATAACAACCTCGTGTCTGCTTATTGAACAAAAACATTGAGTTCTTGTACTGTTTGGATTTGAGTTAAGTATTAAAAAAGCAAGACCAAAAGCGGCTGAGTGGTGACCTACCAGAATTTTCTACGCCAGATTCTGAACTTTCTAAAAAAAGAAATCGCCATAGATAACTATTAAGAAAAGGTTATTTAAAACTATTTTACTAAGTAAAAGTGTACTCCATAGCAAAACGATCCAGGCAACATATGAAAAAGGAGGAACCCAGGAAGAAAAAAAAGAAAAAGAAAAAAAGTGTTGTAGAGCCGCAGTCACAACAACAACGTCCTACGGTGCTTAACTGACAGATTATCAGTAGTAATCCAAGAAATGGATGGCCATTATAAGCAAAGCGCCATTTGTCTTCACCTACTTTTCATTTTCTTTCCCTTCTTCCTCTTTCTGGAAAGCAAAGTTCCCTTGATCTTCGTGTTTTCGGTTGAACATTAATAATTTTTTGAACAAGGGAAATCGGAACCCTTTGTTCTTTAGTTCAAAAAAGACAATAAGAAAACGAAGATGGTATGAAAAGTAGAGAGCGCTGATGAAATAAAAACACAAGGATGAGTTATGGTGGTAAAAAAAGAAAAGAAGAAGATAAAAGGGAAGGAGATTTAAGGGGGATCCTATATCTATCTATCTATCTATTTAGCCATATCCCAAGCAGTGAAACTGCTTTTATCCGACAAAATACGGTTTTGAATATTATAATAAAGCCTTAAAATATTTATTGTTCGTTTCTACCGCACAACATAACCCACCGGCTGCTGCTCCACGGCTGGGGCTCGACGCTGAATACGAATACCGGCAAGACTAGCGGATCCCACGTCTGACGGAACGCCTTGTAGCCCGGAAGGCATACTGAATTCTAACTGCATAATTGGCAATTCGCAAAAGCAGTAGGTTAAAAAAAGATCGTGAGAATAAAACAATATAGAAAGGTTGCACATAAGATGAGCATGGTTTAACCGCAATTAGTCTAGGTAACTTCTATTAGCTTTCGAAATATGTCCATTCTTGAGCCCTGTTTTCAAAAACCATTTGCCAAAGCTTCACTTTACGTATATCGGACATCATCTACCACTTCCAGTTTTGTGTTTGTCAGCTAGAAAGAAATCATAGAATAAATAAAAATCCCTGGTGTCTTCTCCATGAAGAGATTTTTGTGGAATTTGAAACGCAACTTTGCAGTCACCCTGACTTTTTTCAGGAACAATAGAAAACCTTTGTAACAGGTTACAAGTGATCTTTGTCGGGTGAGATGAAGGACAACCAAATCGCAGGGCTCACCGAATGGTATTGGTGCTGGACTAAAAAAAAAGCAAAGTTAGAGAGAAAAAACGGGTCCACTACGGATCGTAGAGACTGCTCCTTTTTATCGGGAACATTAAAACAGTCTTCTTACATGCCGATCTCCCTCACCCCTCAAGGTTATTGGTCACATAAAGTTTAACGTGATAGTTCTGCATGAGATGATCATCAAGAACTCGACGTAGAGAAAACTTTAATGAAAGAACGTTTGCTAACCGGGAGAAGAAAACTGAATTATAAGGTGTTGATGGTTCAAGTTGTCGTGAAAACGTGTAGTTAGTCAACCAATTCGTTGCTAATCATGTCGATTCAAATAACAAACTATCACATCATGATGTTTTGCCTTTTTATTTTCTGCTTACTACAATTTTCACGGCAGAGTACTAAGCGAAATACAACCACGACGTTGCTGAGATATTTGCAAACACAGGACCGAAGGTGTGTATGGTGGGGAACGAACGTGCTATTGTCCTTTCCGGGGAGTAACGCGTTCACCACCACACCATGCAGGTCCTTCGTCCCGCATGTCTCTCAGCTAGTTCTATCGATCTTTTGCCATCAGCAATCACCAGTGAACGGGATTGATCTGAGGCACCCATATCGGCATTGAACACAGTTAAGCTGAGGCTGTAGTTGAAATCACACCGTTTTACCTTTTCATTTTCTGCCTAGTACAATTTTCACGGCAGGGTAAATACAACCACAACGTTGCTGAGATATTTGTAAAACTCAATAGATCGATAGAACTAGCTGAGAGACACCCGAAACGAAGGACCCGCATGGTGTGGTGGTGAACTCGTTACTCCCTGGAAAGAACAATAACGCGTTCGTTGCCCAACATAGACACCTGCGGTCCAGAGTTTTGCAAATATCTCAGCAACGTTGTGGTTGTATATCACATCATGCGTGTTAAATCTCCGTTTCAGAAGAACACCGGTATCATTAGTGACCGCTCAGAAACCTGCACAACTGGTGAAGATCTATTGGTCCGATTGGAGGATGTGATCTGCAACAATGAATTCTTCAATAATTTGCCATGGAATACAAGAATACCGTGATTAGAAACGCCACCGAAAGTGAATGTGAGGATGGCGGAATGCGCAGACCAAAGGATCGAAGCGAAAATGGAACATTTTTCGCTTTTCTGGGAGACAGAAAATCATGGCTATACACATGCACCTCACGATAGCTCGAACGAATCATGAAATAATAGACTTTCAAAGGTAGAAGGTGTTATGTTCTTGTTGCCTTCCTAGTAACATCACCTGAATTACATTTGCTCACAGCCTTCGCACAAAAATACGATCTAGCTGAAGGCTTGTAGACAGCTCCTACAGTAGGCACGCGAGTTGCCGGTAGTAAAGGCATCATGGAGAACCCTTTTCTTGTATTACTGATTAAAGCAAATGAATTGGACCGACGACTACGAGGTCCATGCAGAAAGACTCCAGACCTGCAGACCTGTGCTAGGTTACCTTATTTCAACAAGATAGGTGAGTTCAGAACGTTTTTCCAGCGCATTAGTGAATGTTCGAAAAGAAAAACCACTAAAAGTCCCTAAAAACCCTTAAAGAAAAATTCATCGAAACACAAAGCAAATGGAAATAAAGAGTAATCACCGGCCAGTGAAGAAAAGATTCCTTCAGAAGACAATGAAGTCTGCGTAAGAAAGTAAAGAAAAATTGGTCATAATTTCAACTTATTAATTAGTGCCGACTTCTTTTAATGGCAGCGTAGATTGCGAAATACAACTTCAATGATGCTGAGATATTTGCAAAACTCTGGACCGCAAGTGCCTGCGGTGGGGAACGAACGTGCTACTGCCCTTCCCGGGGAGTAACGCGCTCACCACCACACCATGCGGGTCCTTCGTTTCGCATGTCTCTCAGCTAGTTCTATCGATCTCTTGCCATTATGCCGATTTGGGCTCCCCAGATCAATCCCGCTGACGAGTGATTGCTGACGTCAAAAGATCAATAGAACTAGCTGAGAGACAGACGAAACGAAGTACCCGGATGGTGTGGTGGTGAACGCGTTACTCCCCGGAAACGACAATAGCGCGTCCGTTCGCCACCGCATACACATGCGGGCCGGAGTTTTGCAAAAATCTCAGCATCATTAAAATTTGAACATAGTTCAGAAAAAGCATTCAGAAGAAATGTGTCGGCGTTTTTGCAAATACCGCAACACTCAAAGACAAGCCTTTAAAAGCAGTGCTCTTTGTTAACAGAGCAACCAAGAATTATTTTTCTTCGGAGAGTATGCCGCTTTCTGAAAATGCGACAATGGAACGGGAAAAGGTAGGAGATAATTAAACATTAAAAGATGTTTAGTACACTCTTCCGAAACCGAAAAAAATGACGGAGTGGTCTTCGCAGATATTGTCTGACTTGTTTGTTGGATGTATTCTACAAACTTCCTCCGAAGGTTGTCCCATCGTGTAGAAACTGTCCCATGTCAAAAACTCTCGATGAAGCCAAACCATCTGAACAAACAGTACTCCAACCATGATTCCGCAGCACTGACTAGATCAATAACCTTAGGAAAACAGAAGTGGCGTTCAGTACCACCTCAACTATTTCCTAGCCTTGGCTAATTTTGAAAAAGCATCAGACAACGTCAATTATCAAGGAAATAGAAAAGAATGAAATAGAAATGTAGTAGTGAAATATAGCATGCCTCAAAATCTTCCAACCAGGTGCATCAATTAGGTCTCGTAATCGGAGATCAAAAGCGTGGAGCTAGAAGCTAGGACACTTGTAGTACTACCCAATTGGACACGACGTGTTAGGTGATTGTTTATGTTGAAAATTGAGCGGTAGCGTAGTGGTAGTGATGCAGTTCATAATAACCGCAGAGCCGGTTCAACAACACGCCAAGCTTACTTCCTTCGTGTGGGATCATCATATTACTACCATCACATTCAACGACATTCGTGACGAAGGAAAAATCTTCAAACGGCAGCCGAAGCTATATACACGTCTTGGCAGACTATTCGTGGAAGATGCAAGAAAGTTAATCGAAAACAAGAAGTACTGGGACGCACACAGTACATGTGAAGATGCGTTATGCAAGAATTACAGGAAATAAAAATAAGCCACTTGTATTTACAGATATGCTGGTGCAGTTTTAAGATATCTTCAACTCCTAGCACATCTTTCATTCGGTTCGTTGCTTTGAATCTGACATCAGCGAAAGTCTTCGTAGAATGGATTCTTCCGCTACTTGAGGAATCTGATTGTCGTTAAATACTGCTCGAACTCGATTTTCTTGGAATCGCTGAATACTTTGTTAGACCGTTCTCAGATCCTTAGACTCCAGCCCTTGTGGATCGGAGGAGGTTTTTCTAGACAAATTTGACACTCAGAATTCGGTTGGGTGAACGCAGAGTGCAAACGAGCGACGATGCACAACACCTCTAATCACTGCGCTTCCTGGGCTTAAATGAAAGTAGTTCTGTTATTCTTATGTATTTGTTCATGTATTTATTCGTATTGCTATTTATTATTCTCCAACGTTTTCGCGGAAGAGCTGCTCCGATACCGAACGAGAAAAACCTCTCGAGTTGTCGATGCAGTTCATTTCATCTAACCATTTCTTTCCTTCGATCTTATTTAACCCTTCTAGTTTTTACTTCACTTTTGCCAATGATGCATAGAAGAAGCAACAGCCGATGAAATTCGTTTGAAAAAAATGAATAGAGAAAATATAAAGGTTACATAGAGAACTGGATGAGCGGGAAAAAATATGTACTAACACTTCATTCTTAATGAAATCAACATTGCGAAAATTTAAGATTTTTCTAAGTTTATTAAGAAAAGAAAGTAGGAGAAAATTCGAGAAAAGCGGTCCTTTCGCAATCGAATAAAGAGAAAAAATGTTACAGATGTCATAAACTACCAGAGGAAAACAAATACGAGCTCCAGAAATACGGAACATGTCGATTTTCAGTTCCTTTTCAGATCAGCAAGAATGCGATGATAATTAGTTGACTATAGTGGCGACAACGATGAGCGCTTAACTGGCCGACGCCGACGTCCGGGTGAAGGTCACAGTTGCGATAAGTTCGGCTGGACATCCTAAATATTCGAGATTCCGATGAGGAATCATAACCATGTACTGTTGTCGTTGTTGTTGTTGTTGCTGTTGTTGTTGCTGCTTGTTGTTGCTTGTTTTTGTTGTTTCTGTTGCTGCTGTTGCTGTTCTTCGAGCACCGACAAGTTATCGGTGATTGATGACAAGGCTATAAAGAATCCATGAGAGAAACCGATAATCCTCCGATACGTCACGATGATCGTCAAAAAACACCCTTACGAAAAGTTGACACAGTCTAACCAATATCAACGCCCGATGGTCGGAAATCTTTAAGAAGATTCTTAGCAAAGCTGTGGGGTGCTGTTTCTGTTACGAAAACCGACTAGAACACAATGAACCACTTTGAAGTACAACAAAGATGGATTAAGTCTTTAGACTTTAACGAAGATATCGTACCTTCCTTTAATCCCTACTTTTACAGCAAGCCGTAAACTTAGTAAAAAAAAACCCTCGT